ATAGACATCCTGAATGCTTTTTTAATTGTTAATTCGTAATCTTTCAAAGTTGTTTTTGACGTTTAGATGAAAAAGAAGTTTTACAACAGTTGGCAAACACCACCATCTCACTCGCGATCTTTCGTCGGCCAGTAAACGTTTAGCCTCTGAGATCTGAATCTGTAAGGCAGTGATTAATAATTTATGGAAACTTCCATACTGTATGACTCATGTCATCTCAAGTAATTAGCTAAAATTTTTAGGTCAAAGCTGTGATTAGTAATAATCAGCTGCATATTCTTCAGCAACAAATAAAGCACTCTTTTTATAAACCGATGAACCGTTGAAGGGCTAAAATCTTGTGAACCAATAGCCGGTAAATGCATTACTTTGAGGTTTATTGGCATCCGTTCAGTTTATCCACTGTAGTAAAAATCTTTTAAAAAAATTCTTCTGTAGAAACAATACCTTTTAGTTGTTCTATGTCGCTTGAATGTTTCTAGCACCTACCAGTTTCACGACTTACCTTACTACATGGAAGATTAAAAGACGCATTTTAGTTTTTAACAGGGCTTTAATTTAAAAACAGCTGTTTCGAAAATAAATACAGTATATTCTTTCTTTGCAGCTTATCACTCTCTGCAGTAAAAAACGTCAGTCTATAGCAGAAATATTTAATGAAAATTCTGCGGTTTTCTTACAGGATAGTTTTCACTGTTGGTGATTTGTCTTCCTAGTATCGAAACAATGAGGAACATCCGGATACAGAGGTAAAGGACGTGAACGTAACAAATTGGTAGTGTGAAGTAGTCGTATAAGATGCACTTCAGAGAACTCTTGCGAAAATCCAACATATACTGTAAAGACCAAAAGAATAATTTTATGATGACAGAAGTAAGTTTAGATGTTTGTAATAAACAGATTGTTAGTTTTGCAATGTTTTCTCGTGTTTAATTCAGAGCTGTTTTTGCTGAATCAGTATATGAAACCTCAAGTAACTGTTGCACGGCATTGTCACTGTGTATCACATTTTTACTCCGTGCATCACCAAGAAGTCTTATGGCCCAAGTGCAAGGTATATAGAACTTCATATCTTCAAGTTGTTGTCGTTCTTCTTCTGTTACCAACTCTGCAATGTAAGAACATGAGAAGAAGGTTGTAAGTGGCGTCATAAACAAAACAGTTTATCTGACGAAAAGTGGGAATATTCTTAGTACATAATTTGATGCTTTTAACTGTTATCGTATTTTTTGGTCACTACGCTGGATGCTAAACAAAAACATTTTCTGGTACATTTAGACGTGGCTATAGAGAGAATCACACTTCATGTTACAGGTTTTAAAAAATTTTACATTCAATAATACCAGATCAAAGGCGACCGAAGAAGACTATCTTTTTTTTAAACTGTTCACCGGTCGTAACTCTATGCGAACAGATTTTTAAGCCAGTTGTTATTAAAAATGCTTGTTCAGTTAATATTCTAATGGTGACTAACAAAGAAAAGTTACTGTCTAATAATCTTTAATGATGGCACTCGTAGATCCTATAATAAGGCAGAAAATGCAACACTATGGATATTTTTGGTCATTTTTCAAAGTTTTATAGCACTTTGTCAATTATTTATCATGTCTCAGGTCGTACATCTACGTAGTTTGTGTAGTATTTTTAAGTCTTCTCAATTGATAAAGCCTAGAGCCTCATTTTTAATTTTTAAAATTATAGAAGTAACGTAGAAAGATAAGTTTTATTTCATTTTTTATTTATTTGCTCATTTTTTCAAACTTTTAGAGGAAACGTTAACTGCTTCTGTCATAGAATTGGAAACAGTTTCTGAAAACGGCTACCGATGTTCCAAAAGCGATCGAGAAAGGAACAGAATTACACAGTGCTTAACTAAAATTTGAAGAACAGTGACAATTTAAGATTGTACTAGTAGCTTTAATTTACTGGCGAAATTACAACTGTAACTTTCTTCACTTTTTGTTAACAGTAGTTTTCCTGTTATTTTTGGAATTTTAAAATGAAAACCAGCATCAATTAGTTTGTCTAAAGTCGGGAATCTTCGTTTCATAGCCGGCGAAACAATCCGAAGAGCCATTATCTGTATAACCATCATATATCGTAACATAGTTTTCCTGTATGTATTTCCTTCTTTTGTGCTACCTTTAACATAGCTGGCAATGAGCAAGGCGACACTGAAGAAAGTTAGAATTACTCAATATTTCTTGTTCTTTGCACTACTTTTTCAAATTTTATTATTAGAGATGAAACTATAAGCGTTTCACATCGGAAGATAGGGCGGAAGAAAAACGAGGAATTCACTAAAAATTTTTTTGCTTCTTTTGTATTTTTTACATACTCAAGTAATGAGGAGATTTTGTTAGGAGATAAGACTGAAAGTATTGACATAAAAACAAGAACCATAAAGAAATGACTAACAAGAAAGAATTTGGGCAATAAAAACCTTTCCTGCTAAGATCGCACCTTATATAACTCAGCTAGTAATTTCTTCCCAGTTGCGCTTGCATAATGAGTTATGTGATAAAGTTAATATGAAGTATTAAAATATGCACTGAAACACTGACAACAGCTTACTCATCAATCCACCCAATAGCTGTAAAAAGCATCTGTATCCAGCGTGTAACTACGTGTGTTACAAAATAACCAAGCATGTAGGTAACTGGTAAAAGGCCACCATATTGCTCAAAGATGTGACAGATCTTTTCAAAAATACTGAAAATTACTGTCATTTTTATTTAATTAGCTTTTTTTGAAACTAAAGTTTGTGTAAGCTATAAGAAATTATAAATAAGTTTTGATGGAGAGGAAATGTACTCCTCATTGATGAGAACAGACTTACTCTCGTTGCTCTTCTTCAAGAATACACCGGTAGATAACTGACATAAACGCATATGCAACGCACCAAATAGCTAACTCTACGACAATACTTTTCCATAAGCTGCCTTTCCATCGAAAAATAATTCTAACGAAACTTATTAGACTGGTGTTAAAAGCGTCGAATGTATAAGTAACGGTCATAATTTCACACCGCCTTTTCCCAGTCCTCTAATAAAGCGTCAATGAAACGAGGAAAATGAAGCGTTTATATATTGAACATTTACTAAGAAAAAGTTTGTTGAAGTAATTATTTGAAGTAATTACAGAAAATTTATTGCCTATATCTGTTCCCCACTGGTAATTTTAAAACTACAAATGCTTTTAGCACTTGACCGCTAAGTCTCTTCTGCAAAAGAACTGTTTTTGTTATCTACTAAAGCTCAAATTTATAAAAAAAAAAAAAAAAAAAAAAAAAAAAAAAA